TTTGAGCGCAGAATGACTGGAATAAATTACATTTTAATATATACAATTAATGGTAAACAAACAAATTTGTAACAACATAATTGGTAACAATATTTAACAATATGACTAATTTTTCTACTGTTGATCAAATAAATGCAGCCTCGGTCAAAATAAGAGACAAAATATTTTTTTTTTAAATCTTGCCAACTTTTTAAACAATAATGTGTTTAGCTATGTAATGTATATTAGCAAATATATTACTATAGTTCACAGAGTGTTATTGCTGATCTCATCGTGATATTGTCAGTCTTAACATTCAGGGGTGCGTTTCCCAAAAGCATTTGGACACACACACACACATTCATGCGTGTATAGATGCCAACCTGAAAATGTAAATGTAATTTTCCTGTTTGTTTGTTTGTTTGTTTCATACCCATGCAATATGTTATTTTGAGAGAATTGATTGTTCAGACCTTTGTGAAATATTATTTAATAATAAATCTATAAATGGCGCTGATTTTGTTTTGTGTTTTTGTTACCCAAGTCTCTTCATTTTTTAAAGGCTGTATCTGAGATAACAAATACAATCAGGTACCTTACCTGCTATGCAGATGTTGAAGTGGTAACGTTGAATTACCACACAAAAGAAAGCCTCCATCCTTTTTACATGTTCATTGTAATTTCATATCTCCTATCTCACATTTAGAGACATGAGTGTCTTTTCCTACACTCAGATGATAGATGCCTTTAGATAACCTTAGGAGGGATCCTATATATTACACGTGACATGGCTGACAACTGATCCCATGGGGTCTGCTGGACCTTGTGGGTTAAGTGATGCCACATCCAAATCATAAATCAGTCCAGCAACCAGCTCTCTTGACCTGAAGGTCATTGTTTCATTAACTTCCTGCCACTCTGAATTTTCCATCCATATCTACCCCCACAATTTACTTTATTGCTTATGCCTTATTGATTCTTGAAGTGGTAATATTCTAACTGATATTCTACAGTGTTTATAAATCTTGGCTGTTTGGAAGCAGCCACCTTCTCTCTTATGTTGATTGACAGCCCATTGCCCCAGGTTTACCCTTAAATAAGCATCAGATATTTGGCAAAGGGAATTGAACGGACAGAAGGGTGTTTTCAACTTTACAACAGCCCATCCACAGGGAAGAGCAGCTTTCCCTTCGGCTCACGCCGCTTACGCTGTGGGTGGGTTTACAGTGCTACTCTTTCACGAGATTATCAGATAAAGAATAAGGAGGATGACAGACAAGTACAATCAGATAACACCCCTACACTCAAGCAGCCTTTCTTTTCCTCCCTCGCTAAAAGAAAGGAGCCACATCTTCTGTGGAAACCCAAATAAAGGGTGGCAGCTACCTTTGATTAAACTGTGAGCGGGAGAGTAGCAGTCAGTTTCTACAACAAAACAAGGAAATGGTTTATTTCCGCAGTCTTGTTCTAACTGCTGTACTGTTACAGGTCAAATGTTTCAGAGGTTTTCTCTAGCAATGCTTAGTTTAAGTTGGAAGACACTGTAGCTTACAGTAAGTCCAACTTGTTCATTTTGAATGGTCTAAGGCTTGTGGGAGCACACTCTATAGCTCGTCATATATTGCAGGTGATACATAATTTTGACAAAAATATGTTAATATTAATCAAAACGGGGGGGGGGGGGGGTCCAATAAGTATAATGAAACAAAAATGTAATCACTACTGGAAAATGAATATGTGGTTATTATAGGTGTCCTTTCCTTTTATGTACTTACAATTATTACAATTATTATTCATTTTTTAAATTGTTAGTACAATGTGCATATTGTGTTCATGTATTGCAGAACACTTTTTGCCTCTATTGAGATGCGATACAGTGGACAGGTTTGGTGTTGTGATTAGGTTTATGGGTGGATTATGGCAAAGGGAAGGGTCAATAGTGTAATTATGCATGTAATTATAGATGTTAATTACAGCTGTAGGTTTTTAAACAATATAATTATAATGTAAAAACATACAGTATACACAGTAAATGTATTCTCAAACTACATACTGTAGTAGTTAAAGGCAACTTTATGAAGTATAGGCCTAATTCTAAGTCTTAAGAACATTGCTTGCATTTAAAAAAAATAAAGATTTAACTCTTTTCCCGCCAGCATTTTTTTGTTTGTTTTTTTTTTTTTTTTGTTGTTTCTTAAACGTTGTCAGTCACCGCCAGCATTTTTGACCATTTTCAAAACAATTTCATGGCCCCCGTTTTTTTTAATTTATTTATTTTTTATGAATATCTAAGCGTACAGAATATCAGAGCAGAGCCTCTGCTTTTAGACAAAATAATTGTCTTCCATCATTTAAATCTGAATCAACCAACAGTGGCTTCAAACTGTTCATTTTATTTTGAATAAGTACTGTATAGAGAAACAACATTAGGGTCACACTGTGATCCCTTTAAGACAGGCATTTTGGTTATAGAAGTGACTCCCAGTGTATTTTGCATTATAACACAATATTCTATTGTGTGACTATATGTAATAGCATTTGTGTACACTGATTGACACCAAGAAGTCAAGTTTTGAATGTAAGTGGCAGGACCCAGTTTCAGTTTTTCCACACTGTTCTGTTATTTAATCTTCCATTTTAGTCAATTCAATTCAAACTACTTTATTTATCCCCGTAGAGCAATTCAGTTTTAGCCTACCAGTCGTATCAACAAGACAAGAAGACAACACTTAGTCAAGCATTCAGAAACACTGTCAATGACATCAAATTTCATTTGGGCACAAGAACAAAGCAAATACACAGCCCACAATACACAAACCAAGTTAGGACCAACGTTCAAGTAGATAAATAGATAAATAGATAATACTAAGTAAATACAGAGGTTTACAATGCCTGACACATATCTAGTGGGGGGAGATAACTCATAACCTGTCTAGCCTTCTGGAGCACCCGTTTTTTTTCCAGAGGGAGCTCAGGTCTGTCAACTGAACTCCAATGATCTTGGAGCAGATTTTAACAATACTGCTGAGGCTATTTGAATGCTAACTACCTTGACCCATTGATCCAAAATTAATAAAGATAATGTGGGCAACTCTGGCATGCAAAGATTAGCCAATCACAACAGAGATCAAGGTGGTAATGCAATTAAATTAAAAAATTTTTGCGGACTCACATTAGAAGTGGACTTAGTAAAACGTCTTTCTGCATATCCTACAGTCTCATATTGCCAGGAACCATGTCCAAAATAGGAGTGAATATGTCATAATAGTGATGGGTGTCCTCTGCGATCACACACAGTGACCCACATAAGTGCTCACAGGAGGGTGAAATGAGAATGAGAGAAATAAATCAGGATTTTTCAGCAGATCAATCCACAAATCAATCAGTCTCCCATATAAATATAACTGGGCACAATCCAATCTTCTCTTAATGGGTGCAGACTTTTCTGTGCGTTTGTATGCGTATATGTATACATGCGTGTCTTTTCTAAGAGAAGTCATCTTCAATGAGATTCGCTTCTGTAAATGTCATTGTCTCTGTCCATTTATGAATATCAGAGTGAACGATGGGATCACGGAGCTAAATATCACCCATACTAAATATAAGCCGATCTAATCACAGAGGGGTGAGAGTAATTAAACTGCCCACCTATTAGTTCTGCATAGCAAAATGCCGCTTCTGATAGACTCTGCTCATTTATGTTAGGATAAAGAGTAGAGCTGTATTGAAGCATGAGATTGTATTCATTTTGACATAAAGCAACCCACAGAACATCTGATTCTTATGTTAAAATGCACAATTAAATGGTTAGTTCCAATCCTTGATTCTGATTGGTCAATAGCTTCGCTTTATTCATGATAAAACACGGCTATGACCGCTTCACCTGACGGTTCTAGTTATCACTGCGCAACACTGCAGTTGTTTTTATTTGAGCTTTCGTGCATATTACACATTGAAACGTTGTCTCTGTTCATGGTCAGGGACTATTTTTTTCTAGCGGAAGGAAGGCTTTTAGTGATTTTAATTCATGAAAATTGCACTAATACATTTTTTTTTTTTACTTTAATATTTTATTGTGTGGCAACCGTTTTATAAAAGCAATAAGGTACTCGAGGCAAGTGCTGTATCATCCACAGCCTCTCGTACATTATTGCGTACTTCGGTTATCGGTTTGTATCAGTCTGAAACGGTTTGAACAATTTTTTTATTGACTATATGAGACTATATTGTTGGATTAACAATAATGTCTTGCACATTTACATTCTGCTTAACCACTATTGTTAGAATGGGTGTGATATTTGCAATAAATGTGGTTCTCCATAGACTTGAATAGGTACTTTTTTTTAGATTAAAGTGGATTTGAAAACAAAGAAATTCAACTAAGAGAAGAATTGAGTCCACTGGGAACTGAGGAGATTTCACTGAATGTACGGTTACATAATGATGCTCCACAGCAGGTTAAAGTCTAAATTGTTCTTTAACATTTAAAGTTGGATCAATACAATTTAGATTATGGCTTTCCATTACTATGTGTTTAAACTGAAATATTTCTTTTTTAAGTGATGCAGGCAGAACGTATTTTTTTTCAGTCCAACCCGAAAGCTACTGTAGCATCACCCTTGTTCTCTTGAGAAAAACTCAATAGGATTTTCTTTTTAGTTAATCAAGATCATATTCATATATAAACAGAATTTTGAAGCCTAAATACAGTCACCACATGTAAAAGCTACAAGTTAGGCTATACAAACTATCCCACAGATGCATGTCTTAAAAATCACCATGAATAAGCTTCCAACAACTCTTTCAATCTTTCTTTAAAATCTACAAATTGGAAAGATTGAGTTAGAATAGTTTGCAAGAGTCTCGGTCTTAAACAGTTCACAAATCGAGTTGATCAATCTCAACGTACACATTGAGTGCATTAAATGGTTATGATGTATCACAGCACAGTACCTATTTATGGTTATCAGTCATCTGAATTATATTTGATATCCTATTTTCTTGCTTCTTCTTTTTTTCAGATCCTGACTTTAAAGACTTTGGAGTCCCCAAACCTCTTCCCTGTGGGTATTATTCATTCATTTATAAGCACCCTACATATGAATATATCTAATGGCTTTTCATTTTCCGTAATCTGTCTTCTTATGTCTCCTCCACTACAGTTTGTGAGTTTGAGATGGGAGGACCTGAAGGCATCATTGAATCGCAGCAGATCACCAAAGACGGCAAAGCCTTGCAGACAGAGGCAGTGGACTGCAAGTGGTACATCCGTGCCCCTCCTCGTTCCAAGGTCAGTCCCCCGCAGTCAGGCCCCGTACCAGCTTCCCCTGCTCTCGTCTAATAACTCTCCAGTTGTTTCCCTGTTGTCGTTGTGTTACCGAGCCTGCCACATTTCTGACATTTGACAGCTTGTATCTGCCTCAAGCTGTGCAGTAACCGCCTCACAGTTCAGCATTTGGATTTCTGTTTTGCAGTCGTTTGCATTATGCGGCCATTGTGAAAACATCTCGGGGCAGATTTGTATGCAGTTAGGTGGAATTCTGTTGAGGATAAAAATGTGGCAGTTCTTAGGCGCATGACATACAGCAGAATGAGCTCTCGCAGGGCTGCCGTTGTTTTGTTTTTTATGGCAGATGGGAATCAAAGGGATAGTGTTCATGTGGAAAAAGTCAGGTGTAGTCAAGTTTATTTGGGGTCAGATTTGGTTTTATAATTGGGGCACTGTTGCCAGTGGATCAGTTTACAGCTGTCCTTGTCTCACTACGATTTTATAAGCTTTTTTATTGGCATCCATAGAACCTTTCCATTGCAAAAAAAAAAAACGTTCCTTACAATGGAAAAGGGGTTTTTAGATTTTTAAAAGGTTCTTCACAATAATAAAAAAAGGTTTTTTTCAAGAACTGTTCACTGCTTTAGTTTACATTTACATTTATCTGACGCTTTATCCAAGGCGACTTACAATTGCTATATATGTCAGAGGTCACACGCCTCTGGAGCAACTAGGGGTTAAGTGTCTTGCTCAGGGACACATCGGTGTCTCACAGTGGATTCGAACTCAGGTCTCTCACACCAAAGGTGTGTATATGTCTTATCCACTGCACCATCACCACCCTAGTTTAGCCTGTCTTTTTTCCATTTTTATGTTACAGTGAAAAAGATTTTCCTCCATGTAATCTGATCCAAATGGGGAAAACAGTACCCTCATTAGAATAGGATTCTCATGAAATGGCGTATGTATGACGTGCCAATTCGTATTTTCATTTTTGGCATGCTATCAACATGCATAATCGCTTTTCAGCGTGTTTATGAACGCTGTTGACTTAATGTTACATTACTGTATATAAATCTATGACCCACCCCAACCCTGTCCCTAAACCTACCTATCACTGGGGTTAATACCATTTATGAGTCTTCCCCTAGGGAAAAAATCCTTGGGAAAAAAATATCACTCCCCAGATGTAGATCTACATTTTGCTTCGTTTCACTCTGACATTTAACGGCGTGTACATAAACGAGGAATCACTTGGACATTTAACGGTGTAGACATACACCCATACACGTGGATAGCTCAAAATGCATATAGACTTGAAAGTGGCGTGTGTGTTTACACAAATATCATGATGCCATGTTGTTTTATTGCTGTATTGTGGTTAATTGCATAATTCTGCAGTCTCATATTCTTTTATAATATTCCAAACTGCACAATTGACCATTGTCCCAGTTAACCAATAGTTTGGGGTTTAAATGTCTCTTATGCTCACCAATGCTGGATTTATTTGATCAAAAATACATTAAAAGTAGCAATATTGTGAATATTATTACAATTTCATTTTTTGTTGTTTTATTTAATATTTACTTTTTTTTCCAACTGCCATTACTATGGTCTTCAGTGTCACATGATCCTTCAGAAATCATTATAATGTACTGCTAAATAAGCATTTATATTATCAGTGTTCTCATTATTATAAGCAGTTGCTTCATATTCTTTTGATCAATTTAGCATGTCCTTACTGAATAAAAATATTAATTTATTTTAGAATTTACAGCATATATATGCACTGCAAATAAGCAGGTGAAAGAGAAAGCATTTTATCATCAATAAAACTAAACACACTTCAGCTGGAACAGATGGGTTTGCCCAGAGTCGTATAGTTACCTGTGGAACTAATCAGCAGCATATGACTAAACACAATAAATTGTCTCCATTTCCTGTATATCTTTCCAAAAATGTCTATTTTGCCATGGCTCTGTGATCATATTTGTGTTTAATATGATTTATTGTTTCAGAACTTGATCTGATGTCCTTCCAGATTCACAAATCAAAAGCATATGCCCTTGTCCGTTTCACACAGTTATTCAAGCATTTTTATCATCCGCCAGCACTGCTCAAGGGAGACTAAAAATTTCAGAGCTATGACTCATGATTGCAATTATATGAATCTGCACACAATGGTTATTATGACGACTTCGCCTTTTTTCCTCCAGAGAGTGTTGATAAACCAGCATTTATCCAGTATTTAACCCCATCAGTTAAATTTTTTTTTTTTATCTGAATCCGAATCTAGATATATGAATTTGAATAAAAAAAATATGAAAACTATGAACAAAATTTAATGTAAACTATCTTTCAAGAGTTTGATTTCAGTAAGTTTGTTTGTTTGTACATTAAATCTATAGTTTGATTGACAATAGCAAGTATGTATTCAGTTTGTTTTTTTTTTCTCTTTTTTTTATTATATTCAAGATTGATGATAAAAATAAGAAATGTTTCTTGAGCAGCAAATCAGCATATTGGACTGATTTCTGAAGAATCATGTGACACCGAAGACTGGTAATGATGCTGAAAATACAACTTTCCATCTCAGGAATAAATGAGATTTTATAATATATTAAAATAGTAAGCAGGTATTTTAAATAAAAACAATGTGATCAAATAAATGCGGTTTATATATGTGTGTAAAAGACTTCTTTTCAAAACATTAAAAATCTTAGCAACCCCAAACTGTTAAATGGTAGTGTATGTTTTGTACAATATATAATATTTTTGGCAAAATATTTAAGGTAAAATGTATTTTTAATGTATTAACTGAATCATTCATGAATGTTATTGACATTGACATTTCACAACCTAACCTCACACAAAGTTACGATATTTTTATAAATTAATTGACCTTGATACTCAGTCAAGGGGTCTGCATTTTTCAAATGTTTATAATATTTCAGTAAAACTTCTTATTGTATGCCTTTAACCTAAGACCAAACTGACTTGCCTTTAAAATGACTTTTGTCCTCCTTTTCCCAACGTCTCTCGTAATAAGCATAGAACTTCACGTCATCTTCACACGAGTGTAATATTGTCCATTTCATTGGAATAATTTTCTGTAGCAGCTCTGAATCAGTGTCATGTTTGCTCTGAAATCTCACAGGAATGATTGTTTGGAGCACAGATGGCAGGGAAAGTGTAGTGTCTTCCTCTAGACACCAGCTACTGTTCCTCAAATGCCTGTCCTCCCCACATCTCTCGCAGGCTTTCATATATCTCATCCAATTAAATCCACAACAGTAAAACCTCCCAGACATGTACTGTACATCTCATCTTTTGGTTTCTTATTCGATTTACTGACTGATAGGAAAAGAAAAGGGGGTGGGGTGTATTATATCATCATGTGTTCGCAGCAATTCATCCACACATGCATTTTTGGGCTGCAGCCGGTCCTCTGATTGTCCTCTCCGCTCTGGTGGGAACGTAATAAGTCAGCATAGAGGGGGATGTGAACAGCACCTCAAACACATCCACATGCCCTGAAGAGACAGCAGTCCCGAACTGGCCAGAGGTTGGTGTCTCGATGTCAGACAGACCTGGCTAATTTATTTCCAGAAGAGCGGTATAGGAGAACAAAGCTGAGTTATTGAGATACAATTATTGTACTGGGTAATTAAACTGTACTCAAGCATTCAAACCTGCTTCTGGGTTAGGAGGGGGCTTGTTTCAGATGGAGGGGGTGCAGGACGTTTTAATTCATATAGTCTTTTTTTTACTGATTCGCAGATCATTTTGATAGATTTTTACTCTTTAAAGGCTACAGCTTTGCGTTTTCTCAAGAAATGTGAGTGGTGTTCTCATGCAATACTAACAATTCAATGTTGAAACTGGCTAGATACCATTTGCATTTTATATATATATATATATATATATATATATATATATTATTTACATATGTTAGTGTGAAATTGAACACTATTCCAATGTTATTTTCAATAATAATAATAAAAAAACATAAGAATATTAAAATGAAAAAAAATAATGTAACAAAAAGAAAACAAAAGATAATTTAGAAGTTAACTATGACATTAATGCGATTAATCGCGATTAAATATTTTAATCGTTTGACAGCACTATATATATATATATATATATATATATATATATATACAGTCAACCCAAAATGTATTTAGACACCTTCAATATTTCTCATATTGTCACAGTTTATTCACTATAGTTTTGAAAATGGTACTAAAATATGACAATAACTCCAGAGTTATCAAATCAGTTGATATTTCATTGGTTTTGGCCATCTAGTTTTGGCCGTTAGGGGCTGTTTGCACAACACCGTTTTCAACTAAACATTTTAAAATTTTGATGCGTTTTGGCGGTTTGTTTACATGACAATGGCGTTTTGGTTGCCTAAAACTGCAAAGTTTCCAAAACAAGCGCAAGTTTTTAAAAAGGTTCTCCGTGTAAACAACAAAAACACATGTCATGCACATACATATTACGTTTTCAGTCTATTATGTTTCATCTGCATCTAATGGCCTGGCAGCAGAATACAGCGTGACATTTTCGCGGATACGTGTGAATGGCGATAATTTTGACAATGGGGGTCGTCTGAAAAACTTCTTAATTTTAAGCATATCGTTGTGGTGTAAATGTACCCTTAGAATATCTCACAAATTTGAATAGCTGTCAGCTGTTTCACAAGTTCACACTCACAAATGATCAGAGAGTAAATTGTTATGGGTATTTGGCGTGCTGTCCAGGGGGAGGGCTTCAAGCTCGGAAATTGAGTCCGAAACCAGAGTACTTCCCCCATATCTCTCGTTAGGAAGATAACCAGGCAAGTGTGAGGAGATGGGGTGGTGGAAGGATGCTGAAAACTGTCGAGGAATATGGATGAGTCGACTGCGTGTATTTATAGGCATTACTCATGCTGATTGAGTGGACCTGTTGAATATTAATTGCTGACAGCTGTTTGGAATGACTTGATTGTTTGATCATTAGAACGTGTTCCTCCCGAACCATGCAAATAAACCATAATTAAATGTAAGTACACAATTAGATAATATCAATTTAGGTCAACCGATTACCATGCTTAATTTTGTTCAGTATGTGGTGTAAAAAGGTTGTATTATCAATTAAAGAAAAAACACTTAAAGGAGTAGTTCACTTTTCAAAAAACTTTTGCTGATAATTTACTCACCTCCATGTCATCCAAGATATCCATGTCTTTCATTCAGTCGAAAAGAAATTAAGGTTTTTGATGAAAACATTCCAGCATTTGTCTCCATATAATGGACTTCAGTGGGAACCAAACGGTTCAAGGTCCAAAAGACAGTTTCAGTACAAGCTGCAAACTTTTCAAAGGGCTTTAAACGATTCCAGATGAATAAGGGTCTTATTAAGGGAAACGATCGCTCATTTAATAAATAAATAACAAAGTTTAAGTTTTATAAGCTCAAATGGTCGCCTTGCTCTACTGTATTCTATGACGCACGTTTGTGACTCTCCAGTTCAAACTGAAATCTTTTTCCGAGTCATTTGGTTCATTCAACGAACGAAATGAACAAATTGACTTGGAAAAAGATTCATTCGTTTTGATGAACGAGTTTGAACAGGAGAGTCACGAACATGCATCACAGTAGAGAGCAAGGCGACCATTTATGAAGAAATGTTGGTTATATGTCACAGTTTACTTTATTTTGCTATCCTCACTTCCATAAATCAACTAGTGCCCTGCACCCACTAGTAAAAAAAATATATCAATAATTACGGTATATCTTGTGTCTGAATACATTTTGATTTGACTGTATATGGGTCATAAATTGATCATTTGTTTGTCTTTGTTTTTTTTTTTTGTTTTTCATAAAGAAACCATATGTCTGATCACTTAAAAGCATACTTTTCCTTATTCAGCACAAGTATACATTATTCAGTAAGTAGAATAGATGGTGTCGGATGAGTTTTGTATCAAACTTTTGGGGTTAAAAATATAAAATGTAAAAGCAAGCACCACTAAATTGGCATGTAATGATAAGACTACTGTGACTGATCTGAGGACCGCCCAAAACTTTTGATTAAATATTTGCTTTTATCACATTATACAGTACATTCCTCTACCTTAGGGTTTATAAGGCACTGTTAGTGATTGGCTATTCAGTGGATTCACTTTCAGCATCAGTTTCTGGATTTTGCTTTCAGCTGCCTTAAGGTGTTAGATTATTAGGAGAGTCTATCTTAATAACCAGAGAGGTTCCCTAATGCTTCATTTACTGATCTGGGCAACTTTCTAAAATCAATTCAGTCTAATTACTGTCTCAAACATTGTTGATATTCCTCATAGTGAATTGGGACTAACAAGCTGGCACATATGAGTCTGCTTTCGTCTTCATGTGATTCTCTGAGCATATTAGAAACCCTCGTTTCCTTTATGTTTTATTTGTCCAGATGTGAGTGAGTGGGGTTTATATACAGTATGGCTAAGTGACGCCCCCATGCTTTTTTTGCTGATGATGTAAGATTGTACACACCACAGCATCCCAGAAAGAATACGGTGTCACTAGTTCATTACTTATATCGTTGGTGTGAGCATATTGTTGGTGGCAAGGACAAACCAACCAATGTCACTGGCATGACACATCGATATATAGTCCCCCTATAAAAGTGGAAAATGTGGTTGAATTAAAAGCTATAACAGTGGAAAGATTTACTGAGTTGTTGAGTAACACATGAGCCTTTACCCAGTGCTTGAACTGGGGTGCTTCATTTACTTGTCATAATGGAACACCAAGTGCTCATTAAATGTAAAATCACTTCACTTTATACTGCAAACTCCACCTGCTGAGAGGAGAACATGCTGTACTAATATTTGGAAGGTTTAATTCTGTCAAATAGTGTAATGTTATCATTGTGATGGTTATTTTAGCAGTGTATTTGGAATAGTACTATACCTAAAATTAAAACTCAGTCATTTACTCTCGTGTTGTTTCAAAACTGTTTGACTGACTCTCTGTGGAGCACAAAGAGAAATTTTAAAGAACGTTGTGATCTCTTTTTTTAATGCAATTACAGTGAATGGAAGTGAGAGATTTAAATCTACAAAAAGGATGCAAAACCATGATAAAAGTATCATAAAAGCTAGCTGTTTGGATCTTCTGAAGACATATGATAGCCCTACGTATATGGAAGAGACGGATGTTTAACCGATTTTTCACTGATGGCCTTTTCTTTCAGTAATCTGTTAACCATTGTGTCCAAATCTGTGAGTTGAGAACAGAGTCCAATTGATTTGTGATTGATTCATTCAAAATGGTTTTGTGAACAGTTTAGTGATCCATTGACGAGATCTATAAAAGAATGATTAAAAGAAAAAGAAAAAAACCTGATGGATTCTTGTTATCATCATGAACTGTGGTCACACAAAGTTATTGTATATCTAAGGGTGTATTCACACCTGCCTTGTTTGGTTCGATTGAATCGAACTCTAATTCGTTTGCCCCCTTGGTGCGGACCTTTTGGGCAGGTGTGAATACAGCAATCGAACTCGGGTGCGGACCAAACAACCGAACCGAGACCCAGCTGAAGAGGTGGTCTCGGTACGGTTCCAAACGAACTCTGGTACGGTTCGTTTACGGTGTGAACGTGAACCGACCCAATTGCAAGAAAGTACTGCGTCGAAAGAGAATATTGCGCGTCTTTCTGCGCGTCTTTCTGCGCGTCGTGTGTGAATGTCTAATCGCGCAAAGATGCAAAAAAATATAATTTGCAGTTCATAAAGCATTTGCAGTTCACCACCTTTTGGTGTGGTTGACGAGTTTCCCCCTTAAAGCGAGTGCCGAGAAAAATTCTATATAAATGTAATGAATTATTATTATTATTAATGTAAGGATAGTTACAATACAAGGATGATGATGCGTTAATTTACGTTAAACTGGACAAACTTAATCGCAAGCGTTAACATTGACAGCACTTGTTAGTACACAATAAGAATCTCATTATTTGAATGAGTGAACATAGCCCTCTCTAATGAAAACTTTATACCTTCTCCGTTTTATGTGCAGTGTCACTTGTAACGCAAAGTTGAGATGTTGCCCAGAGATAAAAAAAAAAACAGAAGGTGGTCGAATGAAAAGATGCACGAGAGACGAGAGTTGTCGTATTTCCCCGCGTTTATAGAGCCACTCAAACGTTACACTCGTCGTCTTCTCAAAATCCGAATTACAACTTCGTATAGATGACATTGTATCATATGATACTCATTAGTTTCTTCATATTGCGTTTGTACAGAATTAACACAAAATTAGTAAAAGAACAAATATTGCAGTATGAAATATATGGAAATATCTCCATGCTGAGCCTTTTTTGCACTTCCTGATTTCCCTTGAGAATCCTTGTCCAATGAATGGACGACCTTAGCACACGTGTGGTTTGGTTTACAAATTTTGGTTCACTTGCAAAAAGAGCAGTGTGAAAGCGAACCGTACCAAAAAAAAAAAAATAATAATAATTTATTTGGTCCGGACCAAAGCAAGTGAACTATCGGACTTTCCTGGTGTGAATACACCCTTAATGTCAGGATGTTACTTAAGTAGTGACTGATCTTTTCTTTCGTACTATAACACACATCCAAATGAAACAGATTATTAAAAAGAAAAAAAAAATGGGTTTGACAAAATTATGACAACATATGTTTTTGCATTACTTCAACTCATCAAAATGTTATGCAATTTTATATGCAATGTTATACAATATTCAAATCAATTTATTTAGTCACTTTAATGTAATTGAATTTGAAATAACATTAAAGTTGACTACTTAAAAATTGAAGGCAGCAACTTTTATTTTTTACAGGGCATCGGTTGTTGATTGGATGAAGGCAGATCTGAAAGTGGACTAGATGATTGGATGATATTTTAATTAAAAATTACAATATTTTTTAAATTTTAAACATATGCATGGGTAAATCATTCACACTTAGATCAATAATATGGATTTAGAAAACCGATATGAACATGTTCTATTTCATTCTGACTTGGTAGTAGCATTGGAAAATGACACAAATCATATGAAACACATTTGTGAAACTATTTTGGATATTCTTCAAAAACTCGAAGGACATGAGGGTGACTAAATGATGACAGAATCTTTTAATATTTCAAACAGTGAAAATGGGAGTCTGGTTGAAGAGAGGTGTGAATTAAGCTTGATTAGGGTCAGATTGGGTGAGAGGAGAACAGATGGTTTGTTCTAACACCTCCCTGGTTTTTAGGGAGCCCAAAGGAGCTGGCATGAGTAGATGTGCAGGTTATTGCCGTTCTTCAAGAGCTCATTATTGCAACTTTTCGAAACCTCTGAATTTTGTGTTCAAGTTGAATTTTAAACATAACCTTCTGTGTTCTCGTTGTTGATCTATCTGTGCAATTATCATCAATCTGAGGCTTTTCTGACCACAGAGATCTGTTCTGTAAAGCAAACACAGTTTACCAGGGGATCTAGATGTCATTGACATCTGGGATTGTTGTGTTGAAAGAGAATTGTCCATTTCCTGTGTGGAAATCCTAGTGTGTTAGAAGTAAAAGATTTCCAATGGGTTTAATAGTCTGTTTTTGCTCTGTTCCCCTCTCTCTTAGATCTATTTACGTTTCCTAGACTACGAGATGCAGAACTCCAATGAGTGTAAACGTAATTTCGTGGCGGTGTACGACGGCAGCAGCTCGGTGGAAGACTTGAGGAATAAGTTTTGCAGCACGGTGGCCAACGATGTCATGCTGGTGTCCGCGCTGGGAGTAGTTCGCATGTGGGCCGACGAGGGCAGCCGAAAGAGCCGTTTCCGGATTCTCTTCACTACCTTCCAAGAGCGTAAGCCTTACACACACACTTACGTACTACACTTAAAGCTCTCCGTTCCAACCGTTGTTTGTGTTTACTGTATTTATTATTTAGGCCTACACTGAATGAATCTCATGAAGAAATGGATGGGTCATATTTAACATCAAAATGACAAGAAACAATCAGAAATTGCACTGCTGTTCAAAAGTTTGTCCGTAAAAAAAACTTTTGAAAGTCTTTTATGCAAAACTATGGTAAACCAGTAGTATTGTTAAATATTATTATTAGAATGGAAATTTACTGTTTTCTATTTTAATATATTTAAAAATGTATTTTATCCAGTTATAGATGATCCAGGAATAAAATGGTGGTTCAGGTTCAGGCTTATTTGTTCATTAATGACATCATCGGTGACTTGTTGACGTCAAATCTGAAGTCGTTCAACCCCTAATATATATATTATATATATATACACAAAGGGTGTGATTTGTGGGGGGATAAAACAGAGGGGGAGATGATTTGAAACATTTTTATTCATAAAAATAAATCATGAGAACAGGACTGCATCACTGCATTAGCAGGAATTGTAAAATATTTTTTCTTATTAACTCTGAAGTAGCACAATATAGCTTATCTTTTCGATCGTTTTCGCAAGTTAGCTTACGCTACGGGAAAGATTAATCTGAGATATTGAAGCCAAAAAATTATGCTTAATTTTTTGTATTCATTTTCTACGCAGTGTAGCGTGCTCATTGGCTGCCCTGTGTAAACTGCAGCAGCCTACCACTTAGCCCGGCATGACGTCACGTCCAATGAAGGGCGCTCGTGCCCTCATTGCGTCTTAGCCCGCCAGAATGGGCGTTGCTTAGCGTATATAAGTGGGGCTTAGAGGCTGTCTCACTGATTTTCATCTTTTCAGCGAAGCTCTCCGCATCGCTGGATTTTGAGAGAAACCGCCGACGCCGTTTGAGTAAGCGAAAAGGCAGCTTCGGACAGCGCCTGAAGAAGCCGGTCGTTGACGCTTGCTGACATGAGAGAGTCTGAGTACGCCACGTTTCTCAAAGTGCCGCTTTCCCCCACTGGTCTCTACAGCCCAGCGGTGAACGGGATCGTCGACCGTTTCTCCGAGGTACAGAAGACCACGCAGGCCATGAACCTGTTCCTGCCGCGAAGCTCTTGTTCCTCTGCTCCTCTGGATCAACGTCAAAGCTCCTCTCCCTGTCAGTCCCTTTCGAACAGGCTACTGCAGTGGTACATTCAGCAGTCAATGAGCCAGTAATCCGAGTGCAGACCTCAACGACAGTGAATGTGGAAGTCGCACATCTACTCCACGCAGAAATAACGAAGCTGCTGTGCAAAGGGGCCATAGAACTGATACGGACTTGTCTGAGAGAGCTTTTACAGCCATTATTTTCTCGTACCAAAGAAGGACGGGACACTCAGACCTATTTTAGATCTGAGACATTTGAACAAAGTTCTTGTGAAAAGACCATTCAAAATGCTTACGACCAGGAAAATCCTCGTCCACGTTCGCCCGAGGGACTGGTTTATCTCTCTTTCTGAAAGATGGCTATTTTTAGATTCAGATAATACCCCGTCACTGGCCATTCTTGAGATTCGCCAACGACGGTCAGGTATCAATACACCGTCCTGCCGTTCAGCCTGGCTTTAGCACCCCGTACATTCACAAAGTGCATGGACACGGCTCTCGCCCCCTTGAGAAATCAGGGCTTGCGAATTATGAACTTTCTGGATAATTGGCTGATTCTGGCTCAGTCAGAGGTAGAACTTTTATTTCACAGAGCAGTCATCTGGAAAGCCCGGGTCTCACGGTCGACTGGACCAAGAGCTCACTCGTCTCTGCGAACGGTGCTTCTTGTTGCGCGGTCCAGCAGAGGGCGGAGTGACAGCTTCGGCGTTCAGCGAGCCCACAGGGTCGACATCGGGAGTTCTTCACAGTGGACGCAGCTTCCCGACGAAGAGCGAGGGCTGTGAGGTCTAGGCCCAGGAAGAGAATGCAGATCACATGGTGGTCTCCGGCACTGGGTGGGGCTCGGCACGAGCCACAGGAAGTGCGAGACATTTTTAGACGTCTCGTGCTCTTTTAGAAGGGGTGGTGTCGCAGTGGCGAACACGACCGGCTTCTTCAGGCATTGTCCTAAGCTGCCTTTTCGCTTCCTCAAACGGTGGCGGCGGCTTCTCACAGAATCTAGCGATGCGAAGAGCTTCGCTGAAGAGATGAAAATCAGGGATACAGCCACAGAGCCCCAATATCTCGAATATCTCGAAAAGATTCATCTTTCCCGTAGCGTAAAGCTAACTTACGCAATGCGAAAGAATCTCTCGTAAGAAAAAATTGCATACCTTCCCATGCTAAATATAAATATCACTTTCCCTGTTCCCTCTGCTAAGTAGCCTTTATACGGCTTTACATGGGCTACAGGGGAGAACACAGATGCACAGAATAACAGGATTATTAATTTAAGGGATAAGCTGTTCCTGCTGGGACAGAGCGTTTTCTTGGAAACATGGGTTCTGCGGTGGTGCCCCGCCACCCGGGTGTCTTTGAATCGGTGGTCCCTTGCAGTTAGTCACATCTCTCCGGGTGGCAGCGCTAGCAGCATCAGAATCTATAGAGCGTAATGGGGGTGGAGAGAGAGAGAGAGAGAGAGAGAGAGAGAGAGAGAGAGATGAACTTGAAGGATGGGTGCTCTAAAAGAGGATGAAGTATTGTGGGAACGGAGAGACAGAAAAGGAGCTATAAAGATTGAGTATCTGGCTATGAGAGGAAGTGCTGAGAGAGAGAAAGTGAAAATAGGGTGATAAAATGTGAGTTTAATGTTTAGCTGGTAGCACACTCATCATTAGTGCACACTGCCGGCATCAAACGGCTTTCGTTGTAATGGTCTCAACACCGTTCCTGTGACGCCCCATCGCCATTTGTCTTGTCCCAGTGGTCCCTAAAAACGACCTCAGCCTAAGCACGCCGTGCCGATGCTGCTGGGTAAAAGATTAAAAGGAAATGATGCCACCACCCTCATTGTGCACAGAAGAAGCAGTGTATACTGTAGCAGTATAATTTATATATGTACAATTATAAATATAAACAAATGCTAAATAGAATAAAATTATAAAATCTGTCACTTTCTCAGCAAATAATTGTAAAAATACACACTGCTTTTGATTTTGTAGTTGGTGCATTTCATTATGTACTGCTATTACCAAGTTCAACATTTTGGAATGTATGTGTGTGTGTATGTGTGTGAATGTATGTAAGTAGACACACAATTATTTTATTCTATTTACAGCATTTGTTTTTAACAGTAAGAACAATAACTTTTCAGATTTTATTAATAAAATACAATAAATATCTTTACATGCATTCAAAATATATATATATATATATATATATATATATATATATATATATATATATATATATATATATATAATCACAATATCTCTGTCATATACAGTAAAAGTTCCTTTTTAATACATGAAAAATATATAGCCTTCTTTATATTTTAGCAAAGTTGTTCCTTGCATCCTTGCAAGGGGATCATCATATTTTAGGGTACTTCCTCGGCATCAACAAGTTTAAAAACCGCTGGTGCTGAAAATAGTAAATGAGCAATTTTGTGCAGAGTACCAGACAGCAGCAGAGCAGCACAGCTTCCACTTCTTCTGATTGATTGCGGGGCTTTAATGGACATTAGTGTGCGTTTAAAGAGAGAGGCGGATATCCTGAAGCATGCGGGAGAAGAATGGTGGAGGGAATGAGTCTGTGGTTTTGGTTCTGAGGCCCTTGAGGCTGCAGAAAACACATAGTGCTCTTTCTGGGATAGAAAGATGCAGCTGCGCGTCTGCGTCAGTCTTGGTGAATGGCGATAGGTGGATTTGTGTAGGAGCCCAGTGTCTTTTGTGCAGCCCTATCCAGTGAATGAACACAGGATGTGCGGTTGCCCGGGTAACACCCCTGCATAACTTGTCCAGGCACTTACTTATGCACTCGCTTTCTCCCTCTGGTTTGCTAGCCTCAGCAGCTGAACGGGGGAAACCACCATCTACTGAAAGAGTCTTGCCCAGCACACCTTTAAAAAAGTGAAACTGTATGTGTTTGCTCTACTGCAGATGCAAAGTATGTTTTTAGATGAGTGACTTGGTTTCAACTTCTTTTACAACCACATTCTTGCATATAATGTGATTAATTCAGCATATCTGAGAGCCTTTCAATCTGATGACAGACTTAATGAATGAACAATTATTTTGGATTCACTTATAAATTGGTAGAAAATTTCACAATTAGCCTAATTAAGAAACAAGAAGTTGCAAAATGGATATTATATATATATTTGCATCCAATAATTGCATCCAAAATTACATCATATATGTGTGTGTAGTGTGTAGAATTATTTTGTATATATAAATACACACAAATGCATGTATATATTTAAGAAATATTTGCATGTATATACACAAACTTTTATTTTGGATGCGATTAATCGCAATTAATCGTTTCACAGCCCTAATATATATATATATATATATATATATATATGAAGAGTTCAGATGCAAAAGCCTCTAAATGCCATTTGGAATTTTCTTCTAGAATGACCATTTTTATCAAGCTTGTATATTTAAGTTCAGTAATTTCACTTAAATGGCAATGAAGATTACCTATTAATTGTCATTTAAGTGAAATTACTGAACTTAAATATACAAGCTTGATAAAAATGGTCATTTTAGAAGAAAATTTCAAATGGCATTTAGAGGCTTTTGCATCTGAACTCTTCATATATATATATATATATATATATATATATATATTAGGGCTGTGCAAAAATTAATTGCGATTAATCGCATCCAAAATAAAAGTCTGTATATATTTAAGAATTATTTGGGCTTAAATTCTGTATAAATACATAAACTATATTATATAAATATAAATATGTTATATATGAATAACACATTTTGTTAAATATATACATGCACGTGTGTGTATTTATATGTACAAAATAATTATATACAGCCCACACAAATATATTATGTAAACACGCTTTTATTTTGGATGTGATTAATCGCAATTTTTTGCACAGCCCTAATATATATATATATATATATATATATATATATATATATATATATAGTATTTTTCTTCTAAAACACATCAATAATCTTTGTTTTATATCTTGTGCAGGACCTTTATTTTTAAGAAAGTGTAGGCCTGTATGCATTGTTATTTTGTAAGATTGTGTAATTCATGCACTATGTGTAAACAGCCACTTTACATTAAGGTTTCATTTGTTAACAGTACATTAGTTACCTCGAACTATGAACAAACGCTGCTCTGTGCATTTATTGTAAGGTTTCTGGAAAATAATTTCTATGGAGGTTGAAGGCCTTTTCAATGGATAGTTTACTAAAAAATTCAAATTCTGAAAATCATTTTCTCACCCTCAAATTGTTCCAAACCTGTATGAATTTCTTTCAGCTGAACACAAAATAAGATATTTAGAATTGGGTAACCAAACAGTGGATAGGACCTCACTGACTTCTTCAATAGTGATTTTGTCCTATACTGTGGAAGTCAATTGGTGTCCCATCCGAGAAAGGAAGTCCAGTCTCTTTCAGTGCCTTGTTTAGGAGAAATACAGAGCTGCAGCGCCACCTAATGGAACTGTATCAGAACGTGAAGGCGAGAGAGTCGTGAGGACTGCATTTCTGGAATTATGAGTCATCCTAATTTACGTTGTTATTCCTCATCTGGGAGCAGCTCGAGAATACTGTCATTAATAAATCCTCAAGGTACATTCAGTCAACCTTGAAGCTGCTATTTTAGGGGGGTTTTGTATGAACTAGGTGATCTATGTCCTCTGCAGACTGCAAAATGTCAAGTGAGGTATGTGGGAAGGGAACTGGCCACACATTGGTGGGCGTGTTGCATGCGAGGCGATTGAGACCGAAGCCCCGCCCCTTCTGCAAGTCACCTTGGCTGTAACTGAGCCTCCAGATAGTGATGTTGTAAATGTTATGAGAGGTTGTCTTCATGCATAAACTTTCTCATTTTATAATTTCAGCTGAGACATTCATTATTTTTTCAGCTCAAATGGAGACTGCGTGAACACTCTCCCTAATATTTTTTTCACACCAATATTGGATTAATCTGCTTTGATCTTGAATGATATTAGTGCTTGTATAAATATTGAAGTACTTGCAGTTTGTGTCTGCATTCGTTATCATCTTGGCAATAGTTATCCTCACCACATCTTGGCAAGTTGAAACTTGTAAACTTATTGTATACATTTTTATCTTTATTCACTTTATTCACTGTATATGCATGCATGGACTCTTTCTTGAGGTGAAACCAGAATAATATTAATAGAAATATTACAAAATATCTGTGCAGCTTCTACAGACATGGACTTGTTTCCATGCATATTTGAAGAGCTATATTAAAATTCATGCATAGCAGAAGGCAACAGAATTTGATTTGGTTGGTTTGAGTAATGGGTTTCTAAATTTGAACTGTATTGATGCACAGACACAGTCAGATAGACATTTGTGAGATTAATTGTGTTCATGGGATAAGATTATAGACAGCGTCTTATTAACAGGGAGAAATGAAGTGTAATGTGACATTAGCATTATCCATTTTTCCCTCTCATCAGCTCCCTGTGAGGCAGATGCTTTCTTTTGCCACAGTAACATGTGTATCAACAACACGCTGGTGTGCAACGGAGTCCAGAACTGCGTCTACCCTTGGGACGAGAACCACTGCAAAGGTAAATTGTACTTTTGTTAAATGTCCTGTCAAATCTCGAGTGGTTCGAGTGCATATCTCACCCCTGTTTTTCTCTAAATGATGATCAATCCCCGAGGAGAAGAATTGTCTTAAAATTTGTCCCCTTTTTGTTCATGTTTTATAGCTAATCAATCAAATATAACTCATAGCTGTTAAAAAAAGACCTTGTAAAGCCTTCAAAATTCTGCACGGGTTCATTGATTGATTTTGCACTGCAATGCTGCTGCTGGGAAAAATGAGCAGGCCACTAGATATTCATTTGTATATGTGAATGACTTGCTCTGGCTGGATTTGAATAAGTGCAGTTCAAGCTATATCAGGCTTATATTTTGCATAAGCTGTCCAAGCTAAATTAACTGAATGTTGATAATAATGCTGCTGGGACCCTCCATTGAGAATTGTTTTAGCTCAGCTTGTTTTCCACAATAGGGGCATATGGAGAAATTATTTTAAAAAGGCCTATAGCTTTGACATTTTGTCTAAAACATATTTGACATCATCAAACACAATTTATCAGTTATTACCAATTACATGTAGTATTTAATTGATGTAATACACACTCAAGTTAGTTGAATCATATTTATATTGGGGGTCCAATGAAGGTTTTTAAATGGTAACTAAACCCCTGGTCAGAGCCTGACTCCACCCACTGGCAATATTTGAAAATGCTGAAAAAGTGGGCTGACCCCAGCAGAGATAGAGGGGACGAAATAGATGCTAAAACACACTATCCTGGTCGTTTTCAATACTCACAATTCCAATTCCTGACTCGCTACAGTGGTTTTGACGACACAATATGGTGTTTTTTATACTGCCAAGGGCGTAGCTCGCGTGGTGAGCTGAAACCATGCGTACGTCACGTAGTGCGGAACATCCAATAGGAAAATTCAACTGCAGTAGCCACCGTTCAACCTGAAGAGGGCAGCACTAAGACGTTTTTACACCATATATTGTAGAAAACACTTTATAAACAAATGTCAAAAAAGTTACTCGAATCAATGACTGGTATTAAATATAGCTGCAAGCAGCCATTACCGGGGCCAAGCGCAAGAAGCGGCAACATATGCCAAAATGGCAAGGAGTGGCAGACCAACTGCAGCAAGGAGCAATTAAGGGCATTTTGAGAGAACTTTGGGCAAATGGCTAAGAAAATCACATAAACATTAACTTATAAGATGATTTAATGGGTTATCACTTTCGAACAATAGGTGGCGCAGTTACGAAATAGATGTGATGTGGTCAGAGTGAGGTGACAATGACACATGCAAAGTTTGGTGTCAAAATGTGAAGGCATTGCAGAGATAAAGCCTAAATAGTAATTTTGGCAGCATGCCTACATTTTGACGCTGTGGTATACGAAAACGGTTTTGTCTATCATCGTGCAATTCATAACTTTTAGTCGGCACGGTCTGGAGATGATACGATTCAATTTTCGTGAAAATCGGACAAACGGTCTAGGAGGAGTTCGAAAAAGAAGGTTTTTCAAAGAAATAAAGATGACGAACAGGAAGTTTGTCTGATTATGGAAAACCTGATATCTATGTTTTCGGCATAACAGAAGGAATCTATTAAGATCAGTTTCATTGCAATAGGCAAATTTATTCAAAAGTTATTAGCGTTCTCAGAAATTAATTATAACTTTTGACCAACAGGTGGCGCTGTCTCAAAATCTTTTGAGTACCTTCAGGGCATGCTGCTTATGGCACACACTGAGTTTTGTAATATTACACCAATGCATTTGTTTAGTATAGCATTTTATTTCACAAAACTCTATTGAAGTCAATGGGAATTTCACGTTTTCTTCTTTTATAGCGCCACCAAGAGCCTCAGTCCCACAATTTTTTTCCTGTGTCTTCAGAGTGAGCCCATACATGTGTGTGTCAATTTTGGTGAAAATATCTCAATTCGCTTCCGAGTTATAAACATTTATATGAAAAAACACGTAAAAAATGACTGACACATGACTTTTTTTGAATTTTACTACCCCTTACTATCAATATTTTCGCATTTGGGCATTAGCGTATAGTTAACGAGCTATGATTCCGTGTTTCTGACGATGGTTTCGTCTCGATCGGAACAGCGGTTTTGAAGATATCGCCAAGTGTTTTTTTCGCGCTAAATCGCTACGCTACACCAACCGTAAGACGAAACCCAGCATGTTTAGTATCGTTGGACTCGGCAACGATTCAGGAACTCAAAAAGATGACTCCCGTGAAAATAAGTGTACCACACCCAAAGTTATAAGCGTTTGAATAAAAAAATTCACCACTAGGTGGCGCTGTTTCGAAACTTCTCAGGCTCCTTCAGGGCATTGTACTGATGACCCATACCGAGTTTCGTAACAATTCGTTCATGCGTTCAAAAAATACAGCATTTTAGCACATAATTCAAAATGGCCGACAGCCAAAATGGCCGATCTGAGAAAATTGGATATCGGTCGACTCGGCATGACGCCCTGAATCTAACGAGACTAAGTTTTTGATTTTTGGAGAAACCGTTCAGAAGTTACGAGCAAAAATAGCCATTTTTCATATCTCCGGACCACTAGGTGGCGCTGCGCCGAAACGCAGCACGTAGCCTCAGGTCATGCTTGTGATGACACGTACCAAGTTTGGTCTGAAAACGAGTAAGCGTTGCGGAGATACAGCCTCACGTCTGTTTTCGCAAGCGCTACGTAAAATTTGTTTACGCGTTTATCGAAAACGGTTATTCGAATCATCTTGAATTCCATAACTTTTTGTCAGCACTGCCTGGAGATGATCCGGTGCGATTTTGGTGAAAATCGGACAAACCGTCTAGGACGAGTTCGCAAAAGTAGGTTTTTTTGAAAATTCAAAATGGCGGCCGTTTTTTTATGACGGAAAATGACGTCATAGGGTGCGATCGAATCGGCATGAGCTCAGGAACAAGAGGAAAAAAGAATTTTGTTGATAGGCCTTACGGTTCAAAAGTTATTAGCATAATAAAAGTGAAACTTTGGACAGTTGGTGGCGCTAGAGGGAATGAGTTAGAGACACCAAAATTGGTGTATTTAAAGTTGGGACTGTCCTCTATCAGAATGTCAAACCAAAACAACTTTCCCGCAAACCGGTCTATGGGCTGCCATAGACGCCCAGTCGGAAGAAGAATAATAATAATAAATATAGCTGCAAGCAGCCATTACCGGGGCCAAGCGCAAGAAGCGGCAACATATGCCAAAATGGCAAGGAGTGGCAGACCAACTGCAGCAAGGAGCAATTAAGGGCATTTTGAGAGAACTTTGGGCAAATGGCTAAAAAAATCACATAAACATTAACTTATAAGATGATTTAATGGGTTATCACTTTCGAACAATAGGTGGCGCAGTTACGAAATAGATGTGTGGTCAGAGTGAGGTGACAATGACACATGCAAAGTTTGGTGTCAAAATGTGAAGGCATTGCAGAGATAAAGCCTAAATAGTAATTTTGGCAGCATGCCTAAACTTTGATGCTGTGGTATACAAAAACGGTTTTGTCTATCATCGTGCAATTCATAACTTTTAGTCGGCACAGTCTGGAGACGATACGAATAAATTTTCGTGAAAATCGGACAAACGGTCTAGGAGGAGTTCGAAAAAGAAGGTTTTTCAAAGAAATAAAGATGGCGGAAAGGAAGTTTGTCTGATTATGGAAAACCTGATATCTATGTTTTCAGCATAACCCAAGGAATCTATTAAGATCAGTTTCATTGCAATAGGCAAATTTATTCAAAAGTTATTAGCGTTCTCAGAAATTAATTATAACTTTTGACCAACAGGTGGCGCTGTCTCAAAATCTTTTGAGTACATTCAGGGCATGCTGCTTATGGCACACACTGAGTTTCGTAATGTTAGACCAAAGCATTTGTTTAGTATAGCATTGTATTTCACAAAACTGTATTGAAGTCAATGGGAATTTCACGTTTTGTTCTATTATAGCGCCACCAAGAGGCTCAGTCCCACAATTTTTTTTATGTGTCCTCAGAGTGACCCCATACATATGTGTGTCAATTTTGGTGCAAATATCTCAATTTACTTCCGAGTTATAAACATTTATATGAAAAAACACGTAAAAAATGACTGACACATGACTTTTTTTGAATTTTACTACCCCTTACTATCAATATTTTCGCATTTGGGCATTAGCGTATAGTTAACGAGCTATGATTCCGTGTTTCTGACGATGGTTTCGTCTCGATCGGAACAGCGGTTTTGAAGATATCGCCAAGTGTTTTTTTCGCGCTAAATCGCTACGCTACACCAACCGTAAGACGAAACCCAGCATGTTTAGTATCGTTGGACTCGGCAACGATTCAGGAACTCAAAAACATGACTCCCGTGAAAATAAGTGTACCACACCCAAAGCTATAAGCGTTTGAAAAAAAAAATTCACCACTAGGTGGCGCTGTTTCGAAACTTCTCAGGCTCCTTCAGGGCATTGTACTGATGACCCATACCGAGTTTCGTAACAATTCGTTCATGCGTTCAAAAAATACAGCATTTTAGCACATAATTCAAAATGGCCGACAGCCAAAATGGCCGATCTGAGAAAATTGGATATCGGTCGACTCGGCATGACGCCCTGAATCTAACGAGACTAAGTTTTTGATTTTTGGAGAAACCGTTCAGAAGTTACGAGCAAAAATAGCCATTTTTCATATCTCCGGACCACTAGGTGGCGCTGCGCCGAAACGCAGCACGTAGCCTCAGGTCATGCTTGTGATGACACGTACCAAGTTTGGTCTGAAAACGAGTAAGCGTTGCGGAGATACAGCCTCACGTCTGTTTTCGCAAGCGCTACGTAAAATTTGTTTACGCGTTTATCGAAAACGGTTATTCGAATCATCTTGAATTCCATAACTTTTTGTCAGCACTGCCTGGAGATGATCCGGTGCGATTTTGGTGAAAATCGGACAAACCGTCTAGGACGAGTTCGCAAAAGTAGGTTTTTTTGAAAATTCAAAATGGCGGCCGTTTTTTTATGACGGAAAATGACGTCATAGGGTGCGATCGAATCGGCATGAGCTCAGGAACAAGAGGAAAAAAGAATTTTGTTGATAGGCCTTACGGTTCAAAAGTTATTAGCATAATAAAAGTGAAACTTTGGACAGTTGGTGGCGCTAGAGGGAATGAGTTAGAGACACCAAAATTGGTGTATTTAAAGTTGGGACTGTCCTCTATCAGAATGTCAAACCAAAACAACTTTCCCGCAAACCGGTCTATGGGCTGCCATAGACGCCCAGTCGGAAGAAGAATAATAATAATAATATAGCTGCAAGCAGCCATTACCGGGGCCAAGCGCAAGAAGCGGCAACATATGCCAAAATGGCAAGGAGTGGCAGACCAACTGCAGCAAGGAGCAATTAAGGGCATTTTGAGAGAACTTTGGGCAAATGGCTAAGAAAATCACATAAACATTAACTTATAAGATGATTTAATGGGTTATCACTTTCGAACAATAGGTGGCGCAGTTACGAAATAGATGTGATGTGGTCAGAGTGAGGTGACAATGACACATGCAAAGTTTGGTGTCAAAATGTGAAGGCATTGCAGAGATAAAGCCTAAATAGTAATTTTGGCAGCATGCCTAAACTTTGATGCTGTGGTATACGAAAACGGTTTTGTCTATCATCGTGCAATTCATAACTTTTAGTCGGCACGGTCTGGAGATGATACGATTCAATTTTCGTGAAAATCGGACAAACGGTCTAGGAGGAGTTCGAAAAAGAAGGTTTTTCAAAGAAATAAAGATGGCGGACAGGAAGTTTGGCTGATTATGGAAAACCTGATATCTATGTTTTCGGCATAACCCAAGGAATCTATTAAGATCAGTTTCATTGCAATAGGCAAATTTATTCAAAAGTTATTAGCGTTCTCAGAAATTAATTATAACTTTTGACCAACAGGTGGCGCTGTCTCAAAATCTTTTGAGTACCTTCAGGGCATGCTGCTTATGGCACACACTGAGTTTTGTAATATTACACCAATGCATTTGTTTAGTATAGCATTTTATTTCACAAAACTCTATTGAAGTCAATGGGAATTTCACGTTTTGTTCTATTATAGCGCCACCAAGAGGCTCAGTCCCACAATTTTTTTTATGTGTCCTCAGAGTGACCCCATACATATGTGTGTCAATTTTGGTGAAAATATCTCAATTCACTTCCGAGTTATAAACATTTATATGAAAAAACACGTAAAAAATGACTGACACATGACTTTTTTTGAATTTTACTACCCCTTACTATCAATATTTTCGCATTTGGGCATTAGCGTATAGTTAACGAGCTATGATTCCGTGTTTCTGACGATGGTTTCGTCTCGATCGGAACAGCGGTTTTGAAGATATCGCCAAGTGTTTTTTTCGCGCTAAATCGCTACGCTACACCAACCGTAAGACGAAACCCAGCATGTTTAGTATCGTTGGACTCGGCAACGATTCAGGAACTCAAAAACATGACTCCCGTGAAAATAAGTGTACCACACCCAAAGCTATAAGCGTTTGAAAAAAAAAATTCACCACTAGGTGGCGCTGTTTCGAAACTTCTCAGGCTCCTTCAGGGCATTGTACTGATGACCCATACCGAGTTTCGTAACAATTCGTTCATGCGTTCAAAAAATACAGCATTTTAGCACATAATTCAAAATGGCCGACAGCCAAAATGGCCGATCTGAGAAAATTGGATATCGGTCGACTCGGCATGACGCCCTGAATCTAACGAGACTAAGTTTTTGATTTTTGGAGAAACCGTTCAGAAGTTACGAGCAAAAATAGCCATTTTTCATATCTCCGGACCACTAGGTGGCGCTGCGCCGAAACGCAGCACGTAGCCTCAGGTCATGCTTGTGATGACACGTACCAAGT